GATGGAGACATTTAGTTTAATTAATTGTTAGCTAAAGTGATCCAAGCTTGTATCAAGGGATTTAGGTTTTGGGTTTCTTTTAAAGAATATGGGCCATGATAAAAAATGATCAAACTTCTGAATAGGTTGTTCATGGTGGCTTCAGTTAAAGCATTTTGGTTTGCAGTGAGGACAGGCACAGAGCAGGCACAGTATCTGTCAGTCACTGGTCCACCAGACACTTTGCCCAGGTGTTCACCTTTATGGATGCTCTTAATGTGGGGAGGAAGAAAGCCTTCCTGTCCCAGAAAAGCAATGTCCTCCAGAGGAATGTCTGTAATGCTGCTCTTCACTGCCTTCAAGGAAGCAAGGCCCTCTGGCTCTTAGGGCACTCCTTGACTCAGGGTTTTAATTGACGATTGTTCCTTAACAGCACTAGTAAGCAGAGAGAGGGTTTTTTTTTATGTTCTGGAGAAGAATAAAGAAGCTACTTTGTAAGCTGTTATCCAATATTATTAAGCAGTGTCTACTTCAAATCTGAAAACCTAATGATGTGTTGAAATATTTATTTAGTCTGAACTCTTAATTACTTCTTGCGTGTGACCAGAGCTGAGGCTGAGCATTATTTCGTGGTCTGTATGTTTCAATGAAAATGAAACAGTACTCAATGGCACCAACTATTATATAAACATGTATGATGAGAGCGATTCTTCTCTCTCTGCTGCTGCTGTCAGACAGAAGTGCCTCTGTTCAGCCAGTAGTCTCAATTGCTTTATTGACTTTTACAAAGATAACATCAGCACCAGCTGAGGGTCTCTCCTGATATTTTTAGGCACTTGTAAGATGTCATTGAAATGTCAAAAGTAGTTAGTTACACGCTGCCCTCCTAATGGGAGAGATGTATGATGTTTTGAAAACTTTATTATAAAAATAATGTGTAGAATGTTATTTCATCAATTTTTGGAGAAGATTGCTATATACACTGTACAATCCTTAAATCCCATGTAATTAAACCAAAAAAGCAATGTATTTACAGATTTTGACTACAATTCAGGAAGCATAATTCACTTGAACACTTTGACAAAACAATGTCATTTCCCTGCTGGTGCTGTGAAGTGACTGGGAAAGTCAGCAACCTTAGAACAATGTATTTTATCAGATGTTCACTGAAGAGGTGTTTTAGTAGTACGGCACTGTAGAGAGATTGTAGCAATTCAGTTCTGAAAAATTCAGATTTTTAGTCATGGCAGTGATTTGAGCACTAAACCAATTCCTAATATATTTCCCTTGGCTTATGGTGTGTATGTGTGTATATAACACTTGACAGTAAAGATGATTTTTAAATGCAAATAATAATTTTATATGCAATAACCTAAAATACAGTTTGTCCTGCAAACCCTTGTCATAATGAATTACATTTGGGACAATTAAAAAACAGATTCATTTTCAGTAAATAGCTGTGAATTGTACACAAGAACCCTTCTACCTCATCTGGGAAAGGTTATCTTATCGTTTCTAAAGGTTAATATCAAATTTCTAAAGGTTAATATCAAATTTATTAATGTGTCCAAGGTGTATTTAACTGAAAAAACAGTAGATTATAAAGTTCAAAGCATTAGATGTAGGTAACCACTATACTTTTTATTATTATTATTATCTTTTAGTTTCTATTGTTATTTTTTATTTCCTATTGTTATTTTTGAATTCCTATTTCATGCACATTTATATGGGTTTATCTCAAAAAAGGAAGAAGTCTAATAATAGACTTTTTCTAATAACTTCTAATAGCTTCCCATCCCAAACTTTCAATGGTATATTTGAGGAAAAATCATTTTGTCCTGATTAAATGAGCCGGGCTGAGTTAGATGCACCTGTACTGTTGATAGTGAGGTACAGGTGAGTGCATGCTGATGATTAGTGATATTGTGGGGGTGGTGTGTGTAGAGAAAGGAGTGAGAAACCAGTTAGGTTCTTTCTTTCGTCTAGTAAGTCCCTGATGGCAGCATGCATCAAGAAGCTCAAGTGGCTATTCAGGTTACAGATGAAATAAGATTTCTCAAAGCACATCTGAACTAAGGCAGAAGATGGCAGTGGTAATTTCAGCAGCTCCCTATCTGCCTGTGCCTCCCAGGAACTGTTTGATAGGGTTGTTGCCACCATGCTTCATCTGAGAGGCAGGCAGAAATGGGTCTGGCCACCAGAAAAGAAGCAGGCACAAGAGGAGTAAGAGCTGCTGGCACAGGTTCTGTGGAGAATGAGCTGGTTTGCAAGGATCCAGTTTGGGGATGAGCCCAGGAAAGGAAGCAGCACCAGAGCAGGGATGCCGGAGAAATGACTAATGCCATTGTTGTCTTTGTGGAGGGATGTAAAGAGGAGATATCTGGGCAATGACCAATGAAGTAATTTGTTATGGATGGCATTGCATGTGAAAATTATCTGTAGTAATTACACTTGAGGGAGGACTTTTTCCCTCTTCCTTCTTTTCCATGAATCATTCAAAATGGATTCCAGTCCAACTGGGAAATAAAATTAAACAAACCTCTGATGATTTGATGCTGTTAATCTTGCACTGGTAATTTAAAAGAAAATGTAATCTATGCTGGAATTACATACTCAGTAGGGATGAGTCTATATTACAGCACATGTTACTCTCTTTGTAATTGTCATGTGGGTAAAATGTATCTTTAAAGCATTAACACTGGCAGGCTAGATTTAAACCAGCAGTTCTTGGCCTCCTGGTGTCCAATTGACATGGGTGAAGAGTAGGAATTAGGGAAGGAAAGGGAGAAAAGACATGGCAAAAGTGGTTTTGCTCTAGATAAAGCTCTGCATCCTGCTTCACAATCTTGTTGATATTTGCTTCAATTTCCCCTCTTGTCTATACAGAGTTGTGAATAATTTTTATGCTTTCAGTAAAAAGTAGGTGCTTTGGCATATTTTTGCAAAGGAAAATCTCAGGATGATTGGAAAGATGACAGCAGCTCTCTTTACAGCTCCTAGGTGTGGAGGTTTCTGCCTGTCCAGGAAATGAAATACCTCCTTCACAGAAACAGCAAGAACTTAACAAGCACAGAATGTATCTTCCCTTTTTCTGTCAGGGACTTCTAGCAGATAAATAGTTTCTCAGGCTTCTTGACCTGAGAAACTAAATTCCATCTAGTACAAATGTGATGCTTTAGAAATGGGGAATACCGTAAATTAAAAAGAAAAATATTAAACTTAACACTGTCTTTTCTGGTAGTCCATTTGCCAGAAGTTGCTGAATGCATCTGCTTGTGTCATGTCACAGTACTGAATTTGCCCTTTTGTCTTTTTGCAAAAAGTTTTTTATTTCCTTGGACAAGGCTGTTCCCTGAAGCCTTTTGGGAGAGACCCTGAAGTCAGCTGGAAAAAGGAAAAGCTCAAGTATGACTGAAAGACCTGGGGCATGTCCAATCTGCACCGCCATGGAAGAAGTGGGAAGGAGCAGAAGACATGAATGGAGAGCAGGAGTTCAAATTGGACAGACAGCATGAGAGAGAAGCAGAATCATCTGCGGCAGAAAGGGCTTTTGGCAGGTACTAACCGACTCCAGCCCACAGATCCGGGGTCAGCTACAGATCCACCTCTATACATTAGCTCCTTCTCCACATGTCATGGTTTTACAACAGGTTCAGCGTACTGTACATAACTCCAGAGAGCCAAGCAGCCAGGCCTGGTGCAATTTGGTCTAACCCTGAACATAGAACTGAGGTGCCTCAACACCCACTTCCACAAATGAATGGACTGTAACACCTGCCTGTTTTTTGGCCATTTACTTTTGTGCTTATTTGCTTCTTTTTACATTGTATTGCTTTGCTAGTAAACATATTTATTTCCAGGTAGCTATGTTACCTACAACAACATTTACACTACACATTTAGAGTACTATTTATTTTGATTCTTTTATTCCTAAAGAAAGCTTCTGTGTGAGTTTTTGGGAAAGAAGGAAGAGGAAATTGTAACCAAAGTTTCTGTAAGCATCAAACTCATTTAGAATCACATAAAAACATTCATAAAAGCACTCTGTATAAAGCATCATGCTCCCATTGCTGAATCCTCCTTTTCTTGCAAGCCACAGTGTTTGACAGCTGGGTGTAGATGTCCAAGGTGTCTCCCATTTACCTGGCCTGCCTCTGCTCTGCCACAGTGTCAGCAGATGTAATTTCAGCTATCATATGAAAAAGCTTAAGTTGCAGCTTATTCAGTGTAATATTTTTTTTTAGTTTACTTGTATAGTGTCACTTCATAATTTATAAAATAGTACTGAATTAGGTGTCTAAAATTAGGATGAGTAGCTAAGATATCCTTTCGTCTGCATTTGTGTGACATCCAGTGGCTGGATGGGTCAATCACAGGCTCCAATCTCTTGTGAAAGGTGGAAAAAAGTCTCACAATTCTGTTTGGAACAAGAAGGCTGGAAATGTGTTGGATATTAATGCTAACAGAACCACTGCTTTATTTTGATTTAAAAATAAATAGATGATTAAAGCAGCTTGTTCAAGGGAATGCATTACAAATTTTTACATGTGTGTAACTCACTACAGTCTTTAAAGCTCTTTCCCACCATGACTGATGCGAACTCATCTCCTCAGTGCTCCTGCTGGGTATGGAGAAGTGAATAAACAATATATCACCCTGGTCAGAAATGACTAATTTCTCTTTTCCTGCATTTAACTGTTGACCACACCATGAGTGTTAAGACTCATCAATTTTGACAGAAGCAGTACTGACATAGAAGTGAATTGTTTTGAAATATGCAAAATAACCAAATATAGTAAGTTTGACTATGACACATAATATTTAATTAGGCTTCTAAAAAGTTGTTTAAATCAAAGATCTAGAACTCCAGTCTCGTGTTTCAAATGACTGCCTGAAATTAACTGGTGGCAGTTGCATGACGTATTTTCTTTGCCAACATGGTAACAATAATGACTTGATAGCCACACCACTCTTAGCAGCTGTAGGAGTTTACCCATTTTCTTTTTCTTCCAGACAGGTAATGAAGTAGTAACAGTTTTGTTTATTGCACACTCACATAAACCCCACAGCTATTCCAGAACATTTTTTTGCACTTTGTTATTTTCAGTACCATCTACTAATTCTGAAAAGGAAAAAGATGAGAACATAAAAGTTTCTCTCATTTTCCAGTCTTCTTTAGAAGGTCCATAAACCTGCTTCATACACAGAGCTAATTTCTTGTGTGTGCAGGCTTTTTATACAGCAAAGGGAAAAATACAGTATTTTTTAAAAATATAATTTTTAATCTCATAAAACTTAACAGAGAAATTGAGCATTGATATCTAATGGCTGAAGTGACTTTAATGTGCTTTTAAGCTGACTGAAATTCAGGCTTAATAGATATTACTGATATTTCAAGGAGGTAAAAATATTACTTTGGCAGTAAATTTCCTGTTAACATAAATAAATTGGATGCATAGACAAAAAAGACTGCAGGCTGAGTACTGCATACGAGGCAAATGTTACCAGCAGTGAAAGGAAAACAGCAGCTGTGCACCATTCTTGGACACAAAGTCCTCAGGAGTCACGAGGTTAGATCAGGATCTGTTTTTTCATGCCTGGTTTTGCTGACTACAGAGTCATTTAGTGAACGATAATCACAATACAGTACTCTCCTAAAGTTAGACTAGTTTTATGCTAACCTATGGCAACAAAAAGCAGGTCAAATCTGTCAGAACTGTACCTAGAAGAAAACAAAGATCAGATATATGATAATGCTCTTGCTGAGATCCAGTCCTTTGAGCTGCCTCTTGGAACCACCCTCAGGTATGCATCTTTTAGATAATATTACATTGTTTATGATGGATTTGTTCCATTCTATAGATGTTCTTTCAGTCAGTCCATTATATTAGAAACTTTGTTTTCGTGACCCTGAAATCTACAGGAAAGCTGAATTTCAGTATGCTTGGCCCTAAATGGAAAAATACAAAGCAAGGTCACCTACTGAGCTCTTTCTTTTCATTAGGACAAAGCTATCTGTTACTGAAGGCTGGCTGCAGCTTCTCTGAGAAGAAAGAAATTACTCTTAAACATGAAAACACAGGGAAATTTGCTCTTTTGTGCAGCAGCATTCTTAGTTTGATGTTTTTATTATTTTAATATTAATATATATATTTAATATTTTTAATCACTAAAGATACAACAACTTAAGGTTTCATTGTTGATATTCCTAAATATCTGAATACTTTTTTTTTTATTTTATTTGCAGTTTATGGAAGCTGTTTAATTGTGAAAGTGCAAATGAAAAAAAGTTTCCTCTGTATATTCATCCCTGCAAAAAAGTAAAAGATTATGATGTTGTATGTCCAAGTATATTGTCAGTGTCTGTAGAAGGGTTCTAAAAATAGCCTGCCTGGCACTGTAGGCATCAGGTTGCAGTGACTATCAGGCTAAAGAATGAAAATTTATTTTACTCTGAAAAATGTATGTGTCAATCTATTACTTCAGTAATTTGGTGATGAGGAGAAAAAGGGAATGTGGGACGATTGTTATTGCATTTGAATGATTTCTTGAATGAAATACTATTGCAGTGGTAGCCTGCAGGATTTTTCTTACTTTCTTTCTGCAGCATGCACTTTGGAAAAGTCCTTGTTGATTTAATATGAGTCATCAATAAATTCATCTGAATCAACACTTAATATGATAAAGCCACAAGCACAGACAAGTCGTGCAGAGTTTGGTGCCATTTATTAACCAATGTCCAGGTGTAGCTGCACCAGGGCAGGAGAGAAGACAAGTTTGATTACAATAATTAGAAGGGTGCCAAACACAGTTGTAGCTGGCTGGTACCTAGACTTTAATGCATTCACAGTTGTAAACTGCTGTGAGTTCCTCACTGGAAAAGTAGCCACATATCACCCTGAAGTTTTGCACTTCAGGCCTATTTCTTTTTGTTGGCTTCCCACTTGTACACAGATAACTTTGCCCAGAAAGCAGGTGTATCCTGTCTCCTGAGCATGCAAAACCCAAGGACTAGCTCATCTTTGGCCACAAACCACAAAGTGCATAATTTAAATAGAAGATGGCCTACTCCTCCTTCATTCAAAAACGAAGCTTTGCTGTACATACACTCGAGGGCACTAGGGAAAAATATGCCAGTTTCTAATGAAATACAGCAAGCCAATGTACAAAAAGTGCACTTTTTGGCTGGTCTAGTTTGACCTCAAATTTCTATCGCTTTTGCGGCAAAGGCCAGTGGCTAGAGTGGCCCCGGTGGAAGAGAGCAGGAGCAGCTAAAAGAAAAACAAAACAAAGTGAAAAACAAACAACCCACCCCAAGAATCAAACTAGAACTAGCCCAAAGAAAAAGGCCGGGTTTGGCCCTAAAAGTCTTCAACGTGTCTCTGCAAAGTGGTGCAGAAAGGACATTTGGTCCTTCCACAGCACAGCAGGGAGCGGGGTCGGATTTTTGGGTATCTCTCTTCTGTCACAGGGCTCTCAGTGGGACACCGCGGGTGGCTCCAAGCAAGGGTAGCTACCCGCGGTCTCCACAAGACAGTAAGGCCCAGAGATGCCCAGGGGACAGAGGAGCTCTGCCAGGCTCCCGGCTCAGCTCTCACCCAGACGAGGGCCGCGGGACACCAGCGAGCTGGGGCAAACCGGGCGGGTGAGGCTCGGTACAACCTGCTCCTCCTTGCCCGCTCCTTCCCCTCCCTCCACACCCCCGCCTGAGCCGCCACCGCCTCCTCGGCTGCTCCCGCTGTCCCCCGCCAGGTTCCGCGGTCGCCTCCGCCCTCGGTCCCTCCCCGCCGCTTCCCGCAGCGGCGCGGCCGCCGGGTCCCTCCCATCCAAGATGGCGGAGAATCTCCCCGAGCATGATCGGATCCTGCAGGAGATCGAGAGCACTGACACAGCCTGCGTGGGACCCACCCTGAGGTGAGGGGCGGCGGGGACCGTGGCGTTGACGGCGGGCGAGGTTTCTCCGACCCGTCCTGCCTGACGGACCGCCCGGGGAGCCCCGGCCCGGCGAGGCCCGGCCGCCGCTGTCTGACAGCTCCTCCCCAGAGACACCGCGGGGCCGTCCGCAGCGCCTCCGGCGGGAGCTGCCCCGGAGGGGACGCGCAGCCCCCGGGAGTGCTCCGCAAAAGCTCGACTGCCGTCTCCCGTCCCGGGTCCTGGGGTGGTGGAGGGAGAAGGGGCCACCGCGGTGCGGCCGCCTGTCACCCGCGGGCCGGCGGCGCTGACACGGAAAGACGGCCGGGAAGACGCAGCAGCCGTGCCCCAGCCCCGGGCCGGTCTCTGTCATTGTCTGCCAGGGAAGCGGGGCGCTGCCTGGCTTCCGGCGGGGTGGGCGCGGCGGGGCACAAGGGGGGCTTCGGAACGGGGCACTGGGGCTGGGTCCCGCCGTAACCTGGTGCCGGCCTCTGCGTCGCCCGGGCAGGGAGAGCTCCTGCCCCACGCTTGAACACGGGGCGTCTCCCTCAAGTGTTCCGGTACCCCCGCGTCTAGGCTTGAGGACGGGACCGGGACCGGGACCGAAACCGTGTTGTGGGCGGGTGTTTGCATCAGTAACTGCAGGGCTGCTCTACATACAGCCTTTTTAATGCAGTCTGAAACCTCCTGCCCCAGCCAGATGCCTTCTGGGAATGTGACAGTGTTCAGAGCATTTCTGAAATGCCATTACTTCAATGTGTCTATCCCCCCCCGAATTCTACATACTGCTTAGTTTTTCTTGTTGGAGAAAAACGTGTCAATGTCCTTCAGTTTAAGCTGTGGAGAGAAGGGCAGGGCCTGGAGGGAGTGGATTGGGGTGTGGAGGAGGTGCAGAGGGAAAGGGGATCATCATCCTGGAATCCTGGAGCTGTGCTGATGCTTCCCTGATTAGACATGTCTGAAAGAAGTCAAAAAGCACAGATGCTAGCCAGACTGGAAGAGGGAACTATGAATTTGCATGTTATCTCTTTGGGAAGACATGGAGAGCCTGTGCTTAGGGAATTGGAAAAGGTGGTTTGTGTGGCAGCATGCTGCAAGGCACTGCTAGCATTTTCTGGATGTGCTCTCTGGTACCCACTGGAAAGCATGGACAGGGTTGGGAAAATATGGATGGATGAACATAGGGTAGAGAACCTGCTGTTGAGAACTGTCAAAATGTACGTTGGTCATGAAATGGTGCATTTTGCACTTCATAGAGAATGATTTTGTGCTGTGTCTGCAGTGGGCCCCCAGCACCAAGGCTGTGTAGGAGATGGCAGCCTGGGCATTGTGCAAAGCTGGGGCTAAGCAGTCCTCAAGGAGCCCAAATGGAGGCATATCATAGGGTGGCCAGGCCCAGACATCACACAGGGGCTGCATGTGGGGGCTTGGAGGTCAGCTGAGAGCAAACTGCGCTCATCTTCCCTTACAGTCTGTTAAACACAGCCAGTATGGGAATACAGTGTGGAGGTGCCAAAGCTGAGCATCACAAGGAGTGAGACAGAAACCTGTGAGAGTTTGTGAGCTTTAGTTGAGAGAAGGTAGCTGACATGCTTTCAGACTTGAGCTGTCCCTGGAGGCAGTTTAGCCATGTCTCAGCTAACAAGCCCAGGCAGGTTGGAGCTGATGCCTGCAGAAAAGACACCAAAACAAACAAACAAAACATTAGCAAGAAAATATTAAATGTAATTGAAGTTTTGCTACCATCTCCAGTATAGAGCTTATACCAAAGGACATGCAGAGAATCAGGTTGCACAGTAGAAGGTGGCGTGTTTGGGAACCAGAGGAAAGGGACAATATGAATCTTTTATTCATATTAAGAATTTGAAATATGTCTAAATTTTTATAAATATGAACATTTCATTTCTTAATTTCTTGCATATTCCTGTCTTTTCTTTTTCTGTTTGTATCTCACCTGTCTTGCCTATCTTGTTATCTTGCTGGCTTTTTAGAAGGGGAGTTTTGCATCACTAACTTTCAGAATGTTTAGAAAATAAGTACTATGTTAGCCTGGTTTAACCTCTAATGTTCATATACAAATAAAAAGCCCTGGCTAAATAATGGTTACATCTTTGAAAGAAGTCCATCCAGCCTCACAGAAATAGGCTGCTACTAAGAACAGCAATGTTTAAAATCAAAACTGTAGCTGTCTGTTCAGCTCTGCCTGTTAAAATTTGTGAATTGCTGTGTGAAACTGAAGATTGTAAAATCCCACATCTAATAATGAAATCTATTTCAGTGAACAAAAGTGTGAACATAAAATGGAACATTATTTTCTGCACAAGATCTAAGTTTCACTTGCTAAACAACATAAATCAAGGAAATGATTTCTGCAATTCCATGTGCAGTTGCATAAGGCTGCAACGTAAAGTGATCCATCTATTTCCAGTTGTGGAAGCCATTAATGCTAGTTGTCTCATGTAATGACTGAAATTCCATTAATTTCACAATGTGAAATTGAATATTTTTGTAATCTATGGTCTGTAATGCTTGGAGAATGTTTATAGCATAGTGACATCAGATGAAGTACCAATATTCCTTCTCAAATAGCAGGAGGACAAAAGGGCATGAGGTGAGTGGTTTGGATAAGTAGTGTGAGGTAAGACTAAATGCTGAAGATCATAGGATATGCAAGATCTAACTTATCCTTAATTGTTCATATCAAGATCTGAATGTCTTCCTAATGCATCCCTTCTTCACACAGGAAGTGTAATTTTTTTGTGGGCTGTATGCAGATTCCATGGAAACATATTTCTGTTCTTGGTTTTCTTCAGTGTTTTGTTTGCTAGTTTAGTATAGCTGTGTCTGATAGGATATTGTTTCCTACCCTGCTAGAAGAGTGGCAGCACTTACGTGTATGATATAAAAAATGGTAGCATACATTAATATGTAATGTTTTGTGTAAAATTTATAGATAAGGAACAACATACAGACTGATCCTGCAGGTGATACTATAGTGCCGAGATCCACCCATGTATAGGAATATGAAACACAGGTCCTTTATAGGAGGAATCAAGGTACAGCTAGTACAGTTGGGATTATTCACTATTTAGGAGAGCAGTTTAGATCCTAAAGATTGCTCTGCATCTTCAGAAATATGAAATGAAGATATTGAGTTTGATTAATTTATACTTTATTTGATTAAATTAATTTTCTTTTTGAATTTTAAGTACATGAAGTTATTGGTTTAAAAATGCTGGTATTTAATTTGCATTTCTAAATTTAGTGGCAAACACTACATCATTATAAATGAGCCTTAAATTAACTGTATAACGTGCCTTTCGTTGAATAGGGAGACTGGGTACAGCAGGCCAGGATTAATTTTTATTCAGCAGAATCTGTGAAACTTTTATCAACATCTTTCTAGCTTTAATGGCCAACTAAATGAGATTAATGACAGCACCTGTTAAAGCTTGTCACTCTCACCTTCTTATATAACGTATTAATATCTTATAATTCATGTCATATATATACTGTTGGGCTTTGCAAAAGCAGGGAGAGTTGTTAATGCATTTCTAATCTTTATAAAGGAAAAGGACAAAAAGAAAGAAAAGCAATTCCCATATCACTCTCCAGAAAAAGAAACCAAACCAAACAACTTTCAGACTCTCACTGAACTCTGTATAAATACGTATCAACATTTTTAGAGTCTTTTTAAGAATGTCTTCACACTTCTTGAATACTCTGTTGGACATGCCAGGGTAATTAATAAGATAAATTCTATTCAGTAGAAAATAATTGACTTTCTATGCTGGTTAGTGTCCTGATATACTATACTTAGAAGTCTCCTCAAAGTTGTGATAATGTGTAATATTTCAATGTTCTTAAAAAAAACCCCAAATATGTAACTCTTAAACTGTAGCTTGGTAGTATATTGCATAAGTGTACGGTAGACTTTTTCTGAACACTTCCCATGAGTTTCACATCACTGAGTCTCCAGTGTTCTGTCGTCTCCACACACAGCCTGTCAGAGGAGTACCTCCATGCCCACCCTTGGTTGACTAAACAACTAATACAAAAGTAAAATCAAATTTATAAATTATGGGGGAACTAATGATGACAATTTTGTAGCTAAGGTGCAGTCGATAAGAACATGCCTTGTCTGTTGATCTGTCTGTAAGTGGGATGTACTCCATGGCTTTGTCCCACAATTGCAGCTCAGAAGATGCTCCTTGAAAGTCAGTATAAAAATGCTTTTAAGCAACTTCTCTGTTCCTCTAGTCCTGAAATCTGTCATCACCAGGCTATTGCTTGGTATCTTCTAGGTTGCTGTAAGTTGTACTGGCCATGAAATTTCTCTGCAGAGTTATTAGAGGGCCTCCTTTGAAGACATTTCATTGGCATGTTGTCTTTGGCTATGGAAATCACACTGACAAGTGCCATTAGTTTGATGTGTTTCTGTGTGATGCCGCAATATGCTGTGGTGACCTTCCACTGACCTAGCACTGTATTGCACTGGTAGATGCAGTACTGAGCCACCCACCTGCAAAGCAAAAATCACTTCTGCATGGTGCTGCTTTTTTTTTTTTCATTTAGGTTGAACAGAGTTTGGAGGTAGGATGTAGATTTGTTGTGAGTCTCAAATGTGTATAGGTGAAGTGTTAAGAAGCAACTGATAACTGTTCATCCTGAACTTTTCTCCTTGTGTTGCAGAAAAGCTGAAGGTAAAGAGCACACTTCAGTTAGACATCATTAGAGGAATAAACTGAGGAAGCAAAGGTAGAAATAGTGATCTAAAAAAGACAGTTTTGTCCTTTCCTGAT